AGTAATATTGATAATAAAGTCAATCTTTTATCTTGGGAATAAGAAATCAAATTGTGATAATTCTCTAACTCTTTAGAGCACCGCTGACAATTCTACTTCATTTCATATATGTAGTCTAGTATGCATTGTTTTTTCAACTCCCAAATTCTGTTTTCATGTATATAGAATGATATTTAGATTTTGTTACAACTTTTGATTACACGACTTATTTTTGCGGCAATAAGTTTCCACTAGCCATAACATATGTCCCACTTTTATAGTATGGATGTAACTTCAAGTAGGAATAGAGTTTGATATTGAATGTACGAAGCGTGAAAATGGCATGTTGAATGCACGAAGGGTGAAATTCTTTTTTTGTATAATTACTTGTCGGAAGTATTTATGTGTTTCTTATTCAAGCTTGATGAATTATAAATAATTATGTAGAATGAGATCCTAATTAACAAAAAATCAAGAGTAAACTTTCTATTCAAAAAGTGTATCTACTGATTTTCTATTTAAATGACTCATGATCTAGTACTTATTATTATTAAAAAAAATGGTGAGTTTAACTGTATAAAATTATTATTTAAGGAATTTTGAGATGTAATGAAAGTTGGAGTCCCATCATAAAATCTCAAACATCAGTGTAACATGGACTCATCAAAAGCTTCAAGTGGTGGAATTGAAGTTGCTTCACCTATTGTGTTTTTTCTCTTATTTCTATCAAAATTTCTCTATTGTTTACTTCGCATTTGTCTGTCTGTTGTGTTTAAACATAAATATAGAAGTTTGTTTTCCTCTAGATGGGTTTGGTTGGAGTTCAAAATGTGTATGTAAGTTCGTTTGGTTGGAGTTCAAAATGTGTATGTAAGTTCTTCATCCTTCCAATTCTTTAGATCATCCTTTTCTACTACTAAAGACATGAGAATTTGATGTTCTTTTTATATTTTAAGGGTTAAGAGATTGGTGTGTATATGTATATACTTTACCATGCATGATGTATTTATTGATGTAAAAGTACTATCATTTGCAATTTAATGCAAAAAGAGCATATATATATATGTGCGCGCGCGCGCGCGCGCTTGTATTTTAAAAGTTAAGAGATTGTTGTGTATATGTATATTTTAGCATGTTTGATGCACTCATTGATGTAAAAGTATTATTATTTGCAATTTAATGGATGTAAATATATATATATATATATATATACACTCTCCAATAATATATATATATATATATATGGTTAAAGTTCAAATATGTGGGACATTAAGATAAAGTTAGTTCAAATATGTGGGACATTACGAGAAAGTACATAATTATCCTATTAAAATAAGACTTATTTTTTGAAAAAGACACTTTAACTTTGTCGGAGTTCTAGTATCCCTTAAAAAAATTTTAAAGTGTTGTAAATATCTCATTTTTTAATTAACCACCCTCAATTGCAAGAAAAGATGTGCAATCATGCATCAGTTATAATCTACAACGTGTTAATTTCAATTTTTAATCTTTATTTTCATTTTTTGTTTTTCTTATTTTATTAACTTCATTTTCATTTTCATTTTCTTTTTCTTTTTCTCTTTCTTCTTCTTCGTTGCCCTCATTTGCTCTTGTTCAGTCCTTATAGCTACCATCACCAAAATCCTCCACGTAATTGTCATCCTCAAAGATCAGTTATTCTAGCTGTCATCACCAAAATCCTCTACGTAGCTGTCATCACCAAAATCCTCTACGTAGCTGTCATCGTCATCAATTCTTTAGAGTAGTCTTCATCACATCACTATACCATTAATATCATCAATTGTTAAATCAAAAATAAAATTACTATCAAATGATAAATTGAAAATTAGTAACCATCTCTATCTACCATTTCCTTTTCCAAATTGCAACAATTATGCAACGGAATACCATTACGATGAAGGTAAGAAAATTCTATAATACTCTCAAATCAAAGAAATTTCTTTACTTACATTCTAAAGAACAACATAACAATTTATTGTTTTTTTTTAAATAAAAAAAATTAAAAAAAAAAAAAAGAAGTAATGTAATCAAGGAGGTTTACAATTATTACTATTTTGAAAAAAAAATAAGGGCAAAAGAAGAAAACGGAACAAAGAAAAGCAAGAAGAATTGGGAAAAATGAGTGAAGTAAATGGGTCTTTAATGGAGAGGTAGTTTGTTCTTTAAAAAAATTGGGAAGAAGATAACAAAAATTAAAGAATTGAGAAAGTACAATAAAATAAATAAAAGAAAAAAATATTTTTGATTAAATAAATATTTATTTACTTTTTAATTCAGTTCACTCTCTACCAGAGAGTGAACTACACTCAACATGTCACGTAGGCACGTAATGGGATAACACATTCATTCTAAATAAGATTAAGGGGGTAATCGGCCCCCTACAAAGTTCAAGTGTCTTTTAATAAACAAGTCTTACTCTAATAAGGTAGTTAGGTATTTCCTCTCTTACTTTAATAGGATAGTTATGTATTTCCTCAGAACATTAATTAATACTAGTAGATAAAGCATATATATAGCTCACGCACGCGACTTGGTCGTAATTGGCAATATTTCACTAGTGTCTTATTCACTCATATAAATCTTAAAATACAACTCCCTTTGTTTAGATGGAAATGAGAGTCGAGCAACTTTATTTTAGAGGCAATAATACCTCCTCTAATTCTTCATATACTGGACATAGGGGTGTCAAAAATGAACCCAAACGTAGGTAACCTGCCCAATCAATCCAGAATTTTAATGGTTGGGCTCAAAATAATTGGAATTGCATTCAATCTCAACCAATTCAAGCGTAACCCATTTGAAGGGAATTCTTAATTGAGCGCAATTAAATATCTCCGATTTCAAGCTATTTTAAAACTTTTTATTAAGATGTGTTCCTATATTGAAGGTATGAATTATTATCTATTTACCATTTTTTAGATTTATCTATTCATTTATTACTTTTTTAGCAAAAGATATTTGAGCAAAAAATCAAATTGTGATTATATAAATTAAATATTAATATGTTAAATTATTGAAATTAATCGGGTCAAATTGGGTGGGTCAAGACCAACCCATTTTTAGCCCATTTGAGCCCGAAGTAATTTACTTGGGCAGGTCAAGACTCAACCCAATTTCTATTCAACCCATTTTAATATTTCTAATTTTAATCCAACCCGCCCATTTGACACACCTTCTGGGACATTCTCATTCAAAGTATGTTGGATCAGTTTGAAGTGACTCTCCACAATGCATCACTTTTTACTTTGACGTAGAAATTTTGTTTAGCACCTTAGGGGCCGTTTGGTAGAGCGTATGAGGAAAAATAATACATGCATTAGGTGTTGTAATAATAATACCTTGTTTGTTATATTTTTTTGGTTATGTATAACTAATGCAAGCATTAGTTATACACAACATTGTGTATTAAGTTGTGCATTACTAATACCAAGAAATTCTAGGTATTAGTAATACATAGCATTTTAACACTTGCATTAGATTATGTAATTACAAAAGTACCCTCAAAGCCCTCTTAAAAAAACATTTTCCATAGTACTTGTTTCATAGCACTTTTTTGTATTTTTGCTACTTCAATTTGAACTAATAAAACTGGTTATAAATAGGCTTATTCTAAAATATTTAAATATAGTCCATAATCCACTAATTAACCTCATAGGCCAAAATTAGAAAGGGTTTATTTTAATCACTGATGCATATCTTGTTAAAGTAAAATTTATATTGTGAAATTATTTTTAACATCAGTTTATATAAGCAAGCTAGTCTGTTAATTTTTAAATATGGAGAATGTAAATACATATCATTTTTTTATTAGTTTTTTTCTTGAAAAACTACCACTAAATTGGGTTTTAATAGAATGTTGCTGGTAAAGTTTAGTTTGGAAAATATGGTGGCAAAATTGTGAAGTTGTTTGACATCTTCTTCTTCTTTTCTTTTTACTCTTATTTCAATATTTAAGAAGTTTTTAATTTTATATTTGAAAAAGAAGAAGAATAGGAATAAATAATGTTTTAGCAAAAATATCGTTTTTGATGTTTTAGCAAAGAACCTTGTTGCAAAGGAAGTGTATAAAAAAATAAAGTGTAAAGGGTATTTTTGTAAACACACACTTTTAAATAGAAATTATGAAAGATTTCTTTTTTCTAATACATCAAACCAAACAATGTATAAGAAATAATTCAGACATAACTAATGCAAGCACTAGTAATGCAAGTATTACTAATACACCCTATTTTGCATTGTTCTTATACACTCTATCAAACGACCCCTTAAATACCTCAACATATAATTCTTAAAACAAACATTCATTTTTATTCTCGTTCTCACGATTTGCACAAATTCTTCACCACGTGACGTATAGAGTATTACAAAAGAGCTTTAAATATTTGAAGTTTTCAATTTGAGTATTTCTCTCTCTAGTTTACAAGTCTCGTGAAAAATAATAACATCATTATTTATTTCATCTTTCACAGAATTATTATTTTTGTTGTTTATCTTCCATCATGAGTAGTTATATCCTTTTTAATGCTCGTGCGGATACAACATTCTTAGGTTTCTGAGGATTGACGATTTATAAGCTTTTGTGTGTTGCATGATTTAAGATATGAAATTTTCTATCGTTCTCACTCATTGGTTAACATTAGCATGCACCATGATATCTTGATTTTGCTTGAGAAAGAGAATAAAGATTTGGTAAAAGAGTAGATGAACTCAGAGATAGAATAGCTTAGGATAGATACATGGAATAATTAGTTGTTTTTATCAACATTATGTCGAGATAAATGAATTAAACAGTTAGGAAAGATTGAGTGATGGTTTTGGAGGTGGGCGAGTGCATAAACCATGTTATATCTATAATTGCAAGAAAATCGAAGAATTGTGTATTTGATAGTGAGGGCACAACCTTAGTGGTTTAATCACGTAGATGTAGATGCAAAAGTATTCCATAATGTTGTAGAAAATTAAAGGAAAGATTTTTGTGCCATGTTCATTTTGCAAGGTAATTTTGTTTAAGATGGGAAGGCAAGTTTTAGTGATTGTTTAAGATGGTGATGTGTTTCCTTGATGAGGTCTTACCTGCCCATTATTCCTCTAGAAGTTCATAAATGTACAGCCACATTTTTATCTAGTTAGTTAATGCTATCCAATCAACTAATAAATTCAAACGACTAAACCCAGGTCAAAGAGACATGTAGAAACAGTTATTATCTGAATTCTGAGACAAATGTTTCCAAAAACCACCACTTTTCTCATGAAGTAAAACATCCCTAAGTACGATGCTTGTCATCCAGCACACTTTCAAACAACCAACTAGTGATGTCCACCAACATATTGGGTATTTGCATCAGCACTACCCTGAACCTGAAACATTACAAATACAGACAGTTGTATTATACCTAATTTAAAGTTTGAATAATGCCTACTAGCATCTCATACTACTTTATGTCTTCTTTGTAGGTTAACAGGGAAAGTATCATAGATCAAAAGTCAAACAAGTGGGAACCAACTAAATAATACTTCAGTTTAAAAGCGCATTTTAAATAGGAAAATCCCTACAAAAGTACAAGATTTTGCTTCTCCTGAGGCCCAAAGCCAAGCATCTATCTATCTATATCCATACTATTCTACATATCGGAAAGCGACTTCAAAGACTAAAATAGCCCTCAAAAGTTGAACGGCTATATTACCCTTCATGAAAACATTATTCTTTTGTGCAAAAATGTAAATGTTACATTTATAAATATGACAAAAATAAAATAATGAAATAGAAGCATTGGAAACCTTTCGACACTTGAAATGACCAACTTTTAATAAAAACCATTTATTTTCCTGTGAAAGTATGTCAAAGATCACAGCAAATGAAAAGTCGTTCAAGAACATTAAAGAATATATACTCCATCAAAAAAACAATAAAGAATATATACTCATGTCCTAAACAGCATAGAGGAGAAGACTCCGGCATGGTAACATTGGTAAATCGAAAATGGTTTGAATGAGCCTTTATTTGGGTACCAAAACTACAATAACAATAATCATGTAATTTCTGTATTGATACTTATTTTCTAGATTTATTTGATGAAACTTTTTGTGGTTTGTTGTTAATATTAACATGCTTTTACAGATATTCCTTGAATTATCTACATGATAATTACTTCTTTGTTTTTGGGAATATTTGTGCTTTGTTTTTCTGGATTGTATTTTTTGATTCTAGATATATTTGATGAAACTTTTTGTGGTGTGTTGTTAATATTAACATGCTTTTACATATATTCCTTGAATTATCTACATGATAATTACTTCTTTGTTTTTGGGAATATTTGTGCTTTGTTTTTCTAGATTGTATTTTTTGATTATAGGTTTTATCTGTTGCAATAAATTCTGTTTGTAGGCTTTATGTTGTGACAAAGAAGATTTAGATTGGATTATGAACTGGAAATTCTCTCATATAGGTATGGGCTTAAGTCATCTGCGGCCCCCTCAAGTTGTCCGCCTAATTCACTTAGACACCTCAACTATGACAAGTACCTAGTAAACACTATAATATTAATGGATATGTACTTATTGAACACAAAATGATAATAAAGCTTATAAAATATTGTGTATAGTTCACGCACATTGTCTTGAAAAATAACCAATACTACTCCATTACATGACACATGGACCCAATTTATTGAATTTTTTTGTTAGTTCCAACCTTTAATTTTTTTACAAAAAATAATTTAAAAAGAAAAGAAAAAACCATTCCTCCCCCCACAGGAACCACCCATCTTTCTTCTTCCTCCCCTAATGTCGGTCGACATCTCCTACGACAATGAAAAAGAAAGAAAGAAACAAATCAACTCCCCAGCCATTGAGTTATATGTGCTTTCTTCTTCTAGTTGTCACCCATTATTATAAATTAATTGAGTGAATATTGTGGTTTTTTTGAAAAATAAATTAACTTTAATAAATTAATTTAAAATTGATTACTAAGAGAAATCGTGAGGATTTCAAAGAATTATATCAAATTTTTAGATATTATGTTACAACTTAATGTGTGGTGATGTTTGCTGACCGAAGTCGAAAATAGAAATGAGCGGGAGTTGCCTTTAAACTCTGATGTCCGATTATTTTTTTCATTCTTGCAAGCTCGATTTAACACTTAGCAGATTCAGTTTTTTTTATGAAGAGGGAAAAAAACAAAAAATAAAAAACCAACACAGAGTTTACAACAATGAAAATGGGCTAAAGAAGAAGACAACTGCTGGTATACCTTACAGGAAAGGGGGGTGGGTGGGTCTGTTTTCTTTTTGGATATTATAATGCAAAAAACTTTTTTTAGTTATTTTGATTAATGCAATGCCAAGTGTCATTATAAGGAAAAAAAGGTAGAAGATTATTATTAATAAAAAATAAAAAAAAATAAAAATTTAGACCTGTTCACGCGCGTCCATGCAGTGAGATGCACTTATTTTGCCATATGAGCATTTTAAGCTTAATGGACACGTGTTTTGAATAATTTAGGTGTTCAATAGGTACAAGCCATAGTTGAGCTGTCTAAATGAATGATGAAGACAACTTTAGGGGGTCGTAGATGACTTAAGCCTATAGGTATGTGTACTTGCATCGCACCTGCTATTTATCTCCAAGATCTACAAGGGTTGCTCCGGAAGATGGAGGCATGTGAACAAATTTTAATGCCATCGAGGGATTCCACATCACGAGAGCGTAGGGGCTCAGTTTCAACATGCGGGTCCATATAAGATCATCATGATCAACATATGGACCGTATCTTGACTATAAGTTAGATGCGGATGGAACAGAAGACATGGGACGCATAATCATCATGCAGGCCCATACATCAGACTTATGCCCACACTTTAATGTCCAAAGTTGTAGTGTCAAGACTCTATCCTCAGAAGCTACAGCACACGAAGCCACATACGGGCCGCAGAATGCACATACCCCGTACCTCAGACCATCCATCAAGATTCGGGAGATGCTAATCAAACGACTAAGCAACATGTGGACTGCATATTCCATCTACGGACCGCCCGTCAGGCTTGACTGTGCATTTGCGTTATTTTTGCGATATTTGGAATGCTAATTTTGGATATCCATATAAAAATTGTTAACCTAAAACTATAAATAGTAGAGAAAAGCTCATTTAGAATTGAACATTTTTAATTTGAAGAGAAATACTCTTGAGATAGTGGAGCTATGGCTAGGGGTGTCTAATGGACGAGTTGGGATGAAATTGCAGACATTAAAATGGGTTAAAATAGAATAGGGACAGGCCAAAATTGACTTTGGGCTCAAACGGCTAAAAATGGGTTGGATCTTGACCCGCTTAATCTCAACAATTTTTACATTTTCTTATTTAAGTTTTATAACCACAATCTCAATTTCAACTCAAAAAGATTACAAAAAAGTTACAAATTGATAGATCCTAAAAGATATCACATAGATAGTAATTCAAACCTTCAATATAGAAACATTCAATATAATAATGCAAAAAAAGAGTATTAAGACGCATTGAATCATTCAACTTTAGCTTCTGAGAGAGGAATTATGTCACTTGGAATTTCGAAAAGAGAATCAATTGAAGATTAAATTGGGCGCAATTGGAAACTATTTTAAAATGGTTTGAGATGGAATATGATTCAAATTATCTTGAACCCAACCCATAAAATTCTGGACGGGTTGAGCCGTCTACCTATCTTTGAGCTCATTTTGATACCCCTAGCTATGGCCTTTGTTGTTGAAGGATTGCTTTCTTGAGGAATGATTCCTCTTGAAGGTTATCCAGAGAGATTGCTTGCATGAGAAATTCTTCCTACTAGGGCTTATCTAAGAGATTAGATGCTTATTTGGTTCTACCAATTGGGGGTTTTAGCTATCATAAAGCATTATAGACCAATCAATTCAATATTGTGTCAATCTATCACTTTTTTCTATCTTTTTTTTTTTTGAAATTGCTAAGAAGTATTCTTAGCATTAAGGATATGCTGCCCACCTCCAAAAGTTTGCCTACATAGATAGCTAATTACAATAAGCCTAGGAAACCCACAATCTATATTTTATTTACTATATATTGCTCTTTACACCAAAAACATAAAGTAGATATGCATTTCCCTTTGATCTTCTAAATGGAGTTGATCTTCCTTTGAAAATTCTCTCATTCCTTTCCTTCCATATGGTCCACTATATGCAAGCTGGGACAGTTTTCCAACATTTTTTTATTGGTGTTTGCTCCCTTCTCTTCAAATCCAGCAGCTCAATAGATCAGTAGTGTATTGTGGCATTTTAATGTATAGGGATCAAACTTAAGAAGTTACCTTGCAGTGGAGGAAGAGTTGGTTGTTTATTTCAACGGGTTCCATACAAAGAGAGCATGTGGAATCTAAATGAAATTCCTTTGCTATTATGCCTAGTAGGTGCCATGCTTCTCCAAGTAGCTTTCCAAGGTCCTCTATCTCTTTCTGTCATCTCTAGAAGGCCCATTTTATAGACTCTGTTGACTGAAAATTTGCCATAAGTATTGTGCCTCCACTTGATGATGTTAGGTCCATTGGTAGTCCCTGTGAAGGTTCCTATTTTTCCAAGTAGAGAAGCAACTCTTTCGACCTCCCAATCATTCAAAACCCTTCTCAAAATTAGGTTCCATCCTTAAGTTGTCCAGATGTTCTCTATTGTGTTATTTTGGTTGGCACTGATGTTGAAGAGGCTGGGAAAGCGTATTGCAAAGGGCCTTGACCATCCCAACTATACCTCCAGAAGAAGATTTTTTTGGCGATCGCCAACTTGGAAAGTAATGTTCTCACCCAGGTTGGTCCTGAGGGACTTGATTGTCCTCCGTAGTTCAACTCCATACGTGTTAATGGACTCATCAGTTGCCCATTTTATCCGTACTTCTGCTGTATTACATTCTTCCACAAGGCTGAACTCTCTTCCGCATATCTCCACAACCATTTATTGAGTAGGTTGTTGTTTTGTAGCTTTAGGTTTCTATTTCCATGCTCCTTACTCTTTTGCTTTATGTTCCATTTCACTAGATTGTAACCTTTCTGCTCCTTTTTGCCATGCCATAGGAAGTTTCTTATCAATTTATCTAGGACTTTGAGTACTTTAGAAGAAGATTTTTTTGGCCATCACCAACTTGGAAAGTAAATTCTCGCCCAGGTTGGTCCTGAGGGACTTGATTGTCCTCCATAGTCTAACTCCATAGGTGTTAGTGGACTCATCAGTTGCCCAATTTGTCCGTACTTCTGCTGTATTACATTCTTCCACAAGGCTGAACTCTCTTCAGCATATCTCCACAACCATTTATTGAGTAGGTTGTTGTTTTGTAGCTTTAGGTTTCTAACCCCCATGCTCCTTAC